GGCAGGAGAAATCTGGTCTTCCTCTGATGCTCAGGTGGGGTGCACAGATCAGAGCAGATGCTCAGCCAGTATTTCTCCACTTGGCTGCACCTGGGAATCACCAGGAGAGCATCAGCAGCACTCCTGCCCTGGATCCCCATCCAGAGGAGCTGATTATTTGGTCTGGGATGCTGCAGTAGGATTACGGCAGCTGAGGCTGGGGACCACAGTTGTGGCAGGAACTGAGGGAGATGCACTGTTCATGGCTTCACAATTACTAGATCTACATGGGCTTATGAAGACATAGGTCTGCTGCCCAGGCCTAGTGACCAGCTGAGCTGGTAGCTGGTCAGGTGCTGCTATTCAACACAGATTCCAGTGGCCCCAGGCCCAAGTAGGCCTGGGAAATGTGTACTGGGGAGTGGATAGGCCTTTTTTTAGACTCCCAGGTCCTTTTGAGCAGCACTCCTCATTCTTTTTTTTTTTTTTTTTAAGTATTCATATTGTATGATTAACTATTGTTTGAAAGTAAGAGTGTCAGGGTTGCCAGAGCTAACAATATTAATAAATCTTAATAAAGAATTAAATTTTAATAAACTTTTAAATTTGAAACAGGTTTGGATTTACAGAATTATATGGATAGTTCTTATTTATCGCAATTTCCCCTATTATTAACATCTTACATTAGTATGGCATATTTGTCACAATTATTAAAATGATATGATACAATATTATTTGTAAAAATCCTTACTTAGATGTCTTCAGTCTTTCCTTAATGTCCTCTTCCTGTCCCAGGATCCCACTCAGGATACCACACTGCCCTTTGTGGTCATGTTTCCTTAGGTTCTTCTTGACACTCAGGTGCAATTTTCATCTCAAGGAACAATTTTTTATAGTAGAGGTACATCGCATGCAAAATTTGGAAATAGTTACTTTAAAATAATTACTTCTTGTTTATCTGAAATTTAAATGTTTGGTAATATTTTAGTGATGCATTATAATTATCCGTAATAATGGAATTCATTGTTACACATTCATACATGCACACAATATAATGATATAATTTGGTCCATTTCATTCCCCCGTACCTCCTATTTCCCTCCTCATCTTCCTCCCTCTGATCCCCTTCCTCTACTCTACTGGTCTTCCTTCTATTTTTATGAGATCCTGCTTTTTTCCTTGTTTCTCTCTAGCTTCCACACATGGAGAAAATATATGAACCTTGACTTTCTGGGTTTGGGTTATGAAATTTAAACTCAACTGAGCATTCTCTATTTTATCTGGCAACCTGAAGTATGCATGTGTAATTTGACTATAGCCTAACATTATTTTCAACCTTGCCTTAGCAACCCTTGGGGAAAGGGTTGTTTTTATTTTGTCGACATGCATTTACCGAACCCTGTAGCCGATCTGGGACTTGGGGGTGAAGTAAAATAGTTTCTGCCTTTAGGATTCAAAGCCCAAGATGACTAGAGATGCTTTTTTACTTTTCTTTTCTTCTTCTTTTTTTTTTTTTTTTGTATCACTTAAAAAAATCAAACTTGGCACAATGCATTGGTCACGGTGTCTCTTTTAATTTAACCCCTCTGGTGTCATATTTTTGAAGGGCAGTTGACCACACTTAAAACATGTAAAGGTTGCAGAGCCTCCGAACTAACAGTTTCACTATAAAAATTTATTCTGTTAGAGGTTCCCAAACTTTCTAGGTTCATGGAGCTCTAGTGTCTAGTTTTATCTAGGTTTTCACAGTACCCTTAGACCAAAAGAAATACAAAACAATGTTTTAAGTTGTTAGGTCTAAATAATAAGTATTTATGCCCTAAATTGATAGCTGTTTGAAAAAATTCACATACCCTGGAAGAAAAATAATTTGTATTTAATTGTTAAGTAAATTTCTTAACTAACAAAATGCATGTACCTCTTAGCCATCACACAGCTTCTGAAACCTTCCAGTCGGGTTGGACATAATCACACTTATTTCCAGAATCATTACTGATTTTTGTACAAGGCTCACTCTTTATCACAACACCAGTAAAAACCCGACTGTACAAAGATGTGACATCACTGATCTAATGTTGAATACATGAACTTCCTGGAGCTGATGGTTCACAGCGCACCCCAACAGAGGTCAAGTGTTCCTGCATTTTCCTCAAAAGGATGCAGCTTCTCTGTGAGTTCTCTGTGGCATTGTGGGAGCACCTTGGCACAGGTTTCAGAGATCTTAGTCCACAGAATGCCGGCTCCATTCCTCGGGGCTTGAGGTGAGCCAGGATATCATGATGGAAGAGTGTGGCAGAGGGAAACAACTCATATGATGATCAGGAAGCAGAGAGAGAGCAGCACCCCTCATTTTTGCATAGTGCTTGAGGCTTAAGGGTGCTTGCTGTGCCCGGAAGGTGCTCTCGCTTCTGGTAATGAGGCAGCCACAGCTTAGAGAACTAAGGTTTCCTTCCCAAAGGGTTAGACCTTAAGAATGCCTTAAAGACAGAAATCTAGAATTTTAGCATTGCTAAAAGAACTTCTGAAACATCTCAAGTGTCCCTTCTGGGGACCTGGGACGTAGAGCTAGGTTTGCAGAGCAGAGATCTCTCCTGGCACTGGTGCTTTGCACCCTGGTCCTGCTGTCAAGCCGCTGCAGTCCAGGCCCCTGGCTCCCCCACACCCCAACTGCATTTTCCACAAAGCTTCTGCCACACCTTCCCATGCCATTCATGTGCCGGCTTAATGAGTCCCCCTCATGACTCATTGTTTGATTTCCCTTGCATCCAACTCATTACCTGTATAGCCACACATTTCCGATCTCCAAGATATTAAAACTCAACTCATGCCTCAGCACTGAGGAGAGGACACACAGGTTTGTGTTTTCAGTTGTGCTCAGACACACATGACATAAGATTTTCCATCAGTGCCATTTGGTGCATCTGCAACCATTGCCACACTTCTGTCATCCAGAAGGGAAACCCACTCCTGAGTGGTTCTTCCCCACGTCCCTAACCTACTTAATGTCCTGTAGATGTGCCTGTCCTGTGTGTTTCACGCACACAGAGTCAGACAAATGTGGACACGGGTGTCTGAGTTGAACCAGGGAGTGCAGCCTTGGAGGCTCACTCCCCTCAGCCTCACCTTAGAGGCGGCCCTGCAAGGACGGACCACATTTGTTCCTCCACTTATTTATTGATGAACATTGAGTTGTTTCTCCCTTTTGGCTATGGTGAATAATGAAGCAATGAACATTTATTTATAAGTGTTTTAGTCTTTGCCTTAAATTATTGTTGGTATATAGAAGTGGAATTGCTGGATAGCATGTAACTCTGCTTAACTTTATTTTTATTTATTTATTTTTTTTAACCTGGGCACTTAACCACTGAGCAGCCCTTTTTATTTATTTATTTTTTTTAATCTTGAGACAGGGTCTCACTAAGTTGCTGGCTGGCCTCCAATTTGTGATCCTTCTGCCTCAGTCTCCTGAGCACAGTGATTACAGGCATGACCACCATGCCCAGCTCTTCTTAGCTTTTTTTTTTTTTAATATTTGTTTTGATTGTAGTTGGACACAATACCTTTATTGTATTTATTTATTTTTATGTGGTGCTGAGGATCGAACCCAGGGCCTCGCACATGCTAGGCGAGTGCTCTACCACTGAGTCACAACCCCAGCCCCTCTTCTTAGCTTTTGAGGAACCGCCAGCCTGTTTCCCCACATGGCTGTACCATTTTCCCACCAGCAGTGTTTGAGCTCCACTTCTCACATCCTCACTCGCATGTTTTTTTATTTTTTAAATAAAAACCATTTTAGTGGGTATGTGCACAGGATTTTCAATGAATTATTTTTATTAAATAAAGAAAAACAATGAAAGTCAAAAAGGGAAAAATTCAAAACAGAAAAGAGCAGTCTCTTGTCTGGTCCATTCAGACCCATCCCTCAGTAGCAGTCTTCTGGGGGCCCTCTGTCTGCTGCCCTTCCAGCTTGGACTGCTGGCTTCCTGTTTGGGTAGATAAAGGCTTTAACTCACCTGATCCTGTGATCCCTGCCATCCTCTCCATGTAATTTGTATTAGTTAGGGCACCAGCTTGAATTTTGAAAAGGACCAGGATTACAGATCTCTTGCTGCAGCAAGGCATAAGCCTGTTTCTGTTTCACATCCTACAGCACAAACAACTCAGGGCTGCAGAGGTGGTTTTCAGATTTCACAGTGCCCCACTCTTTCTGGACTTCAGCTTTCCCATCTTCAAGTATGTTTTCCATTTGGGTTTCTGAGGTGGCCACTCCAGGTATCCCTACCACACCCACCATCAACCAGCAGCAGGAGGGGACTGGGCCAACAGAGACCTTCTACCTCCCTCCGCAGCTGGGACTCAGAGGCTGTCACTCCAAGTCTGGCTTTCCCTGCCCCTGTCCATTTTCGTCCTGTGCCTCACTTCTGCTGATACACACTTTGTCTTACTGCTGTAACAAGGAGCTAGTGTTTGAGTGCTTACTATTGTTATTAGTGCATTACATGCACAATGACTTAATCCTTAAAATAGTCTTCTAGTCTCCTAAGTAGATATTATGTCCCTTTTACAGATAAGGGCACTGAATCGCAGACCAATCCAATCATGGTCCCAGGTCACACGATGGGGCAAGGCTGAGATGCCACAGCCCACTTCATTTGAGATTCCTTGAACTTGGAGTCCGTGTGCCCAAGGGTGTCCACGTGTGAGAACGTTGTTCCAGCAGCCTCTCCCATCTGTGCCCATGGAAGGGCAGGAGCTTGGCCAAGCCCTGGAGCAGCAGGCAGGAAGCCCCAGTGTGAGAGTGCCCTTCCTGCCTGCTGTGCACACCCGTGTGCCTTCCAGATTGACTGGAGGCCTGCTGGGTGGAATCTGTTCAGGCCAACACCCTGAGTGCTCAGGAAGCTGTATTTCTGGGGCTGAGGTCGACAGTGGCAGCTGCAGCAGACTGCTGGAAGACTGGACGCTGTGCATGTGTGGGGAGCTGCAGCTGCTGGCTGCTGGCCTTAACTGCTCCTGTTTTACAGATACAGTGACCAGGAGCTAAGCTTTGGGATGTGACAGAATGATGGACAACAAGGATTTAGAAGCTGAAATCCACCCCTTGAAGAATGAAGACCGAAAATCACAGGAAAATCTGGGGAACAGGTTGAAGAATGAAGATAACTTGAAAAGCACACCTCCACAGACCCGGCTGTCCCGCTGCCGCACCGTGGCGTTCTTCCTGTCGTTGTTTACCTGCCTTTTCGTGGTGTTTGTTGTCTCGTTCATCATCCCGTGTCCAGACCGACCAGAGTCCCAGCGAATGTGGAGGATCGATTACAACGCAGCAGGTGAGGAGGCAGGACTGTGGTCTTTGACAGTGAGTCAACCAAGTGTCTGCCAGTTCTGTGCCCCACTTGAAAAGCACACCTCCACAGGGGTTTTAGGGTGCTCCAGAGCAGCCTCAGTGAAACCAGAAGCACTTCTTTGGTTGGGTGGACAGGCACACACAGCTCGCAGCTACTTTTCTTCTATTTTCCTTTATTCTTTTCTGGTACTAGGGATTGAGCCAGGGGTGCTTAACCAACATGAGGACATAAGCCAATGACCTCACATCCTCAGACCTTTTTATTTTTCATTTTGAGACAGGGCATTACTAAGTTGCCCAGGCAGACCTTGAACTTGGAATCCTCCCGCTCAGCTTTCCTAGTCCCTGGGATGACGGGCATGGCCACCGCAACTGGCTTGGTTACTTTCTTTTTGATAATTTTTTCTATAAAACATACAACTGGCGGAAAGACTCAGGTGTTATGAAACATGGGAGGTATGCAGCAGGTGGTGTCATCCAGGCTTGTTCTGCTCTAGCCAGAGTGAAGTGTGCCTGTTGAATTGGCCTCCTCCTCTCAGGACAGCATGCACAGTTGTCCTGGCAGTGGGTGGGAGAGCCAGTGACCTCTGCTGCTGTGCTGCTTTGCATACTTGACTTCTTTTGGGGGATAAAGAGAATTTCTCATTGAAGCTTACTTAGTGTCATTTGTCCAGATTCCAGGACCATTGCCCCCCCTCCCCCTGCCTTGTCCTCTTCTCCTGGTCCTAGGAAGGAGGATAGGTTGTTTCTTGTGCCTGCTGGGCTTTTTGTTTCTGTAAAGTCACTTTTTCCAGGTGTTTCATATGCCTCGAGTGTGACAGCTCTCTCTTCACATGACACGCTAGGGACTGAATCCAGGGTGCTCTACCACTGAGCTGCACCCCAGCCCTTTTTATTTTTATTTTGAGATAGGGTCTTGGCAAGTTACCAAGGCTGGCCTCCAACTTGTGATCAGCCTCTCTCGAGTCCCTGGGATGGAGGGTGTGGCTGTGTGCTGGCCTTCTCTGTCTCTGAGGTGGTTATGTGGTACTCCCTTCATACTATCCACTTGGTATATTACAGTAATGGATTTGGGGATGTTAAACAAAACTCAAATTGCTGAGGTAGAAGCGATTAGATGCTGGGTGTGTCTCAAAAACAAAACACAGGACTGAGGATGAAGCTGTTGTTGAGCACCCCTGGCCTCCACCCTTTGTATCACAAAACAAACAAAAAGACTAGCACCACAGTTCGCCTGAGCACACTTCCAGCCCATGTTCCGAGAGGCTGATTGGCCTTCCTCCTGGCGGCAGCACCCTGGGCTCCCACCGTGGAGCCCCCCAGTGTGGCAGCAGTCCTCCTGCCTTTCCTTCATGCCAGCCACACCATGGGTCTGAAGCAGCCTCTTTATGGTCTTGCCTTGCAGTTCCCTGATGACTAGTGATGTGGCCTGTCTCTTCATGTGCCGAGGGGCCACGTGTATATCTTCTTAGGGTCCTTTGCCCATTTTTCACTGTGTTGTTTGTTCTGTTATTGGGCCACGGGAGTCTTTATAATCTGGACACTTGTGCCACATGCATATGACTTGCAAATATTTTCTCCTGTTCCGCGGGTCATCTTTTTAATCTATTGATAGTGACCTTAGATGCATAAAAGCTTTGAACTTCGATGAAGTCTCATTAACTTTTTGTTCTGTTGCCTGTGCTTTGGGCGTCATGTCTAAAAAATCATTCCTAAATCCAATGCCATGTAGACTTCCCTGTGTAAAGCACTTTATAGTTTTAGCTCTCTGTTTTGGACTGATTTGTTTTGAGCTTTTGTGTAAGCTAAGGGCCCATTGTCATTCTTCTGCTGTTTGATTTTAAGACAGAGTGTGTCATTTGAGTCTTTGAATAAAAGGAAGCAGTAGGCCTGAATGTGGATGGAGTGTGGCTGTCTGGGTCCCAAGCTGGTCCAGGAGGATCCCTCTCAAACCCAAGCATTTAAAGCACCTGTTTGTACTGCCTGAGCATCCTGCCTGTGTCAACACCTGCTAGGATCTGCCTGGCCTGTCACATTCCTGAACAATTGCTGCTTTTTTCAGTGTGGGGGGAAAACCTGCTCACAGTGGCAGGCAGAGCAGAGCAATGGGTCATGTTAGACTTGACCTTTCTGCAGACAGGCATGGCCTGTGGAACATGGTCCGTGGCTTCTTTTTCAGTTACCTATGACTTTCTGGCCATGGAAGACATAAACAGGGACAGGATCCAAGATGTTGTCTTTCTTTATAAAAATACCAACAGCACTGACAATTCCAACCAATCCTGCGCTGACGAAGGTATTTTGGTTTTATCTGAGAAGGAGGGGCTCCCTACAGGGAGAGGGGTCTTTGTTCTGGGTCACATTCTCACTTTTGTGGTGTTTGGGGAGGCAAGTGGTGGGATTCTGGAAACCATCCCATCCCTCTTCCTTCCTTCCAGGAGTGGGAAGAGGCAAGGGGGCAGGCTTAGCCCTATCACCCCACTTGGGGCTGTGAGTCTGAGCTTAAGAACCAGAGACAAAGGAAGCAGGGCGAGGCCCAGGCCCAGGGCTGCAGGCAGGGCATGAAGAGGGCCAGCTGCACCACTGACTGGAGGCTGTGGTCTCTCCCCTCAGGCTTCTCCTCTCCCTGTGCCTTCGTGGCTGCCGTGTCAGGGGCCAATGGCAGCGTGCTCTGGGAGAGGCCTGTGGCCCAAGACGTGGCCTTGGTGGACTGTGCTGTGCCCCGGCTGTCAGATGGCAAGTCGTCTGCCTGTGTCCTTGTGGGAAGACCCAGTTCTCTCACTGCAGTGGACCTGCTTACAGGTGGGCCCTAGGTGGAGGGCTGGGAGAAGAAAGGCATGGTGAGGACAGGCCCTGGCCCCCGACCAAGGATCTGGCTCCAAGGCACTCTCTCCTGGCAGAAGCTTATACCTGTGGGTGCCACTTGGCCCAGATGAGGCCCTGCTCCCAGCTGGGAAGGGTCACATTGGCCCTGGGTGTTCTGGAGCAGCCCTTGCCCAGTGCCCAGGAGTAGGAGGTTCCAGGTGGAGTCCAGGAAGAGAAGTCTTCCAGGAGTAACACTGCTGTTTTCCAGTGGCCACCGTCTTTTCTCACGTGGGCGTGCCACATCTTCAGCACAGTATCTGTTCCTCTTGACGGGACGTCAGGCCCATTCACACATGTTCCCATTTCTGAATGTGTGGACCACAGGCCCTGAGCGTGGATGACTTCCCCAGGGCCATTGTAAGGTTGCTGGGAAGGTGTCTGCAGTGTACACCTGTACAGTGATGGTGTGCTTGGTTTTAGGGGAGACCCTGTGGAGCCAACCCAGCAGCTTTGGTGGGAATGCCTCTGTCCTGAGCCCTCTGCTCCAGGTGCCTGATGTCGATGGTGATGGGGCTCCAGACCTGCTGATCCTTACCCGGGAGGCCACGCAGGTGCCAGCCCACACTGCTCTCTTCCTGAATCCCCAGTCCCAGCCCCATGCTGCCTCCTCTCTGCCTCCTTGTCCACTTCCACCTTCCAGAGAGGATCGGGTCTGACCCCAGACTCTCTTGCAGGTCCAGGTCTACCTCTCTTCCACTGTCCTTTGTCACTGCAGGTCAGTGGGTACATCTATTCAGGCAGCACTGGGCGCCAGATTGGCCACAGAGGCAGCCTCGGTGTGGACGGAGACAGTGGCCTGCTCCTCCATGTCACCCGGACGGGCGCGCACTACATCCTCCTGCCCTGCGGTATGCCGGCCCCTGCGTTCCCAGGGGGCGCTTCCTACTCACAGGAGTGCTGGTCTTCAACAGATGAGCTCAGCGCCCTGGAGAAAGCAGCATGTAGGGAAGCTGGCTTCTGCCCCCAGGGCATCTGCTGCCCTCTGTCACAGAGGTGCTGGTTAATCCCAAAGTTCAGGGGACCCAAGCACCTGGACCATGGGTGGCAGCATGCTGGGTGTGGGGCTGCCGGGTGACCCTGGTAACTCCTGCTCCTCTGTTTTGAATAGAAAGTTCCCTGTGCAGCTGCTCTGTGAAGGGTCTCTATGAGAGGGTGACTGGGAGAGAGAGCCCCTTCAAGAGAGACCCCCTCTGGGAGAGCATGCTCAACACTTCTGCCACCAGGCAGCTTCTGCGCAGGTTGGTCTGGAGCATGGTGTTTGTCCCACGGGTCGGGCTTTGGGACCTGCAAGGACCACAAGAGAGCCAAACAGGCTGAGGGCCACTGTGTAGCTCTGGGCCATGAGACCATCCTGTATTCAGAAAAGGGACACAGACAGATGGAGGCCAAGCACAGCTGAGGAGAGAGCATCCTGGTGGGATGTTCCTCCTCCCTGGGCAGCCAGGGTCCCTTGAGGAGAGAGAGTCCTGGTGGGATGCTCCTCTTCCTCCTCCTCCCTGGGCAACCAGAGTCCAGTCCCGTTCAGGAGAGAGCGCCCTGGTGGGATGCTCATCTTCCCCCCAGCTACCAGGGTCCTGCTTTTCCTCCAGCTGGGGGGGCTGAGGCATGGGGCTATGTTGTGGGAACCTGCAGGAGTCAGTCCCCACAGGCTTGGTGGGGTGTGAGGCAGCCCAGGGACTGTGTGCTTCTTTCTGCTCCCCTGTCCAGCTCTGGAGCAGTCCGTTACTTGATGAGTGTTCCAGGGAAATCTGGCCAGGACTTGCTCCTTGTGAGCTCTGAGGCCTGTGTACTCCTGGATGGACAGGAGCTGACACCCAGGTGGACCCTCGGTGAAGTCCAGGTCATGAGGTATGGAGTCTATCCCCTTGTCCCCTCCTGGCATCTGCAGCCCACCCCCCTGGCTGGTAGGAGGGTGGAGGGGCAGGCTGGAGGGGTCCACATTCTTCTGCCAAAGGCCTTTTTCCTAGCCATGGTGCTGCCCTGCCCCTATAGCGGGGCCAGTGAAACCTCTGGTTCTGAGGGTCATCTCCTAGTCCTGGGGCCAGATATGGGCATCTCCAGCCCTGTCCTGGTGTGGACACAGAGGACTGAGTGGCACACTGTCCCCAGGTGTTTCCTTCATCCTAGTCTCTTTACAGAGATCCCTTGTGAACTCTTCTTCTCTACTCCTCTTCCAGAAAACCCATCCTTGGCCACTACAAGCCAGACACCTTGGCCGTGGTCATTGAAAATGGAACTGGCACTGATAGACAGGTGGGCTTTACTTCCTCCAGAGATTCCAACTTGACACAGTTGAGAAGCAACACTGTGGCCCCAGAGGCAGCTGCCCTCAGACCAGAGAGAAGGTTCTGGCTGCCCCCAAGAGAGCAGCTGCCTCCATGCTGGCATGGCTAGGGGCATGTGTGCCCATGTAAGCCCTGAGTTTATCCCAGTGCTCCCCAGTGTCCCCTCCCTCCCCAGATCCTGCTTCTGGACCTTGGCAGTGGGGCTGTCCTGTGGAGACAGGCCCTCCCCAGCTTCCCTGGAGGCCCACCTTCTGCCAGTCTGCCAACTGCTGACCACCGCTCGGCCTTCCTCTTCTGGGGCCTCCATGAACTAGCCAGCACCAATGAGATGGTATGGGGGGACACACTTGGGATAGCCCTGCCCATCGGTGGCTGGCCCATCCCAAATCAGTTGAAGCCTAGTGGGAGTGGGCCACAGTGGGGAACGTGCCCTACATTCTCCTAGGGCTGACGGGGGCTCTGTGTTGGGGAGAGCTGATATAATGGATGCCAGGAAGGAACAGGACCAAACTCAGGTTGGGAAGGGGGGCTTCCTGGTGGGTGTCAGCTCTGGGCATGGTAGCTGTAGTGAGGCATCCCTGAAGGTGGCCTGAGTATTGCCTAGGATGTGGCCTTGGCCTGGGGACAGCGGGAGTGTTGAGGCCTGTTGGCGGTCCTCACTCCAGGAGCCCAGAGTCGCCCAGCACAGTCTGTACATGTTCCACCCCACCTTGCCCAGCGTCCTTCTGGAGCTGGTCAACATCTCTGCCCACATCATTGCCTTCGATGGTGAGTGTGGTCGTGGGCCCGGGCACCCAGGTCTGCTCTGGCTGACCCTGAGAGGCTCTAACAGCTTCTCCCCCACAGCGCTCCTGTTTGAGCCGAGTCGCCATGCTGCCTATGTCCTCCTGACTGGCCCAGCAAGCCCCAATGTGCCTGGCCTGGTCTCTGTGACCAAGCACAAGGTACGGGACCTTGTCCCAGGCAGCAGGGTGATTCGCCTGGGTGACGGCGGGCCAGACAGTGATCAGGCCATCAGGGACCGCTTCTCTCGGCTACGGTACCGAAGCTAGGTATAAATGGAACCAGCTGCAGCACGTGGAAAGACTCCAACTGCAGAAGCCAGGCACCCTGGGAAGTGGGCCCCTCCCTCAGCCTCCTATAGAATCCCCACTCTTGACCTGGTGACCACTGTCCACTTGGGAGCCACGGCCTTACTGGTCACGACCGAGGATGTACATGGGGTTGCTCAGGCCCCTGACCCAGCACTCCATGTGCACACTGAGCTGCACTGGGTTTCACTATGCCCTGAGGGTCTTAGCAGGCCAGGGTGCCCCTGCAGCCTCCTGGGCTGTGAGCAGAGCTCACCTTGTGGCATGGCATCCTTGCTCTGTGCCCTCTCCTTGCCAGCTTCTCCCAGGCCAGATAAGCCACTGTAGAATGTGCAACTCCCAGGCCTGATCTGCGTGCCCCTCCTCTTCTTGCCTGGGCCCCCCTCTGCACTGACCCCTGGGATCATGAAGATCAGAGGATGGGTGCTGGGGAAGGCCTGAGGCCTTGCAGCCCTCCAGGCCTACCCAGAGCAGAGGAAGCAGCTCCCATGGGGGGAGAGGAATAGGGATCTAGAGTGGGGGTGCCCCCTACAGGTGGGCAGGGGGCCTGCACCACAGCTCACAGGTGTCCTTACTGCATCCACTTGGTGTCAGTCTGTGCCCTCCGCACACAGGAGCTACTGTCTAATAGAGGCCCCATGTCCCTGGGCATGGGAGCACCTCCTGCCCCACTTCCTGGTGCTCATCTGATGTAGGACTCACTCTGTGCCTTGTCGCTCCTGAGGCCCAAGGGCAACTGCTGTGCTCTGCAAGGAGCAGCCCTGCCCAGTCCAGAACCTGAGCTCTGTAGCAAAGAGCCTGATGATGCCAGTCACCACAGAAACTACAGAATAAACGTGCACTGTCTCGAAGAGCCCTGTGGTCTGGTGTGAGCCTGCCATCTGCCTGTCTGCCCAAGGAGCAAAGCAGGAATTTACTGGCCAGGAATTTACAGGCCCAGCAGTCACCATACAGCCTTGGGAGCGAGTCCTGGGGTTTGAGAACTGCTGATCAGCAGGGCACCAAGCCCCATGTAAGCAGGAGCCTTGGGCCAGCATGGGCCTGCAGTGGAGGGCTGGGTGAGCACCTGCTACCACTGGGGCAGGGCAAGGCTGGGAGGGGCTTCAGGGAGATGCCATGCAGCCTGGAAATGAGGAGCCTGCCAGAGCTTGCTGTGGTTTAAATACAGCTCTGGTCTCGTAGCCTCTAAGGTATCCTTGCTCCTCTTTCTCCTTGGGAAGGCCTGGGGTGGGGATGTGGGGTTAAGGTTGAACAACTGGGTGTTGTGCTAGGAAGTAGGTCCACTGTTCCTGAAAAATAAAGGCAACCCAGCCTACAGAACCTGAGCACAGAGGAGCTATAGGGACAGTGGCATATATGAGAACTGCCAGGGGCTTCAGTAGAGCCATCCCTGGGGGAGGTGCTCTGCAGGTCACCTGATGACTGCTGAGGACAGGAGTCTATTCCCAGCTTCCCTCCAACCACAGTCTTCACCTCCTAAACTTGTTACTATGACCATGGCCACTCAAGGGTCCTAGAGGCTCTGCCCATGCTGTGCCCCTGCAACTTCAGGGCCTTAGAGAAGGCTGGGCACAGCTGCCCAGGAGGTGCTGTGTAAATGCCAGGAGCCCCTCCCATGAGCGCTTCCTTGGCAGTTTCCTCTTTTGGCCAGCATCCTTACGCCTGTAAGGCCCCTGCTCACCTTGGGCTGCCAGAGCACAGACTGTACCCTCCACCTCCCCAAGTCTCAGCGCAGCCTGGAGCCTGAGAGTCTGCACATTGAGGGAGGTCACCTTTACACCTGAGCCATGCCCACTGACCTTTGCCTTGTGGCCAGCTCACACACACATGCCTCACGTGCTCACACCACGTGCATTCACCAGCATATGACCAGTGCAGGGCTGAGGTCCTTTTATTTCTGCACCAGAGTGGATGGGGAAAGGATGTGGGCCAGGCCTATGGGTGGGTGGCACCTCAAAAGCAACTAGCCCATGCCTTTAGCCTAGGTCCGGGAAAGCAGGGTACCCTCACCAGAGAGGGAATAACACCAGTAGCCCAAAGGAAGGTTTAGATGGGAAGAATGGACACTGGCTGTGCCATCCTGGCAAAGACCTGCCCTGAGGGAACTGGGAGGCTCCGGGTCAGAGTGACAGCATGGAGTCATCTGTTGAACCTGGGGCGGGTGCCATGGACAGCACACGAGAGTAGGTGGAAGAGGCTGGAATGGTCTCAGCAGGATTAGGGTCATAGGGCGGGGGAGCTGTGCCTGGGCAGAGTGGAGGGCCCAGAAGCCTGCTCGTCCTCATCTCATGACAGGTGTCCTGTTGTGCCAGCTGTCTTAGTGTTCTCTGGTGGGGAAGGGCACCCAGTGCTGAGCTGAAGGCTGCAGAATGCCAGGGGCTCCACATGGCCTCGGCCTTGGCCTCCCCTTTCTCTGGGAATAAGTCCTTTCCTGGCCAAGTGTGGCCAGTGAGATCCCTCCCCAGGACCAGTCCCTTCTGTCATGTCAGAGGGAAAGGAGAAGTTGGAGAAAGGCTGGCAAGGCTGGGCCCTCTGGACTCAGGTCGAGTGCCACGGGGTGCAGGAGAGGATGGCCACCATCACAGGTGTTGCTGGCTGGGGGTGAGCCTCCTAGCTCTCCTCGTCACCACCTGCAGCGCTTCCAGCTGCTGAGGGCTCCCCAGAGGTGGGTGGCAGAGCAGGGCTGGGGCTCGAGAGCCGAGGCTTCCGCATGAATGGGAATACCCTGTGGCAAGAAGAGGCCAGACAAGTGGCAGGAAGGCCCTGTCTCCTCCCTGCAGGGCCCTCACCACTCAGTGGGCACAGGGACTGCCTGGGCTCACCGTCTCTTTGTTTCCAGTGGAATCACACCTTCTGCCAGTAGGCCCTGGTACATGTCAGACTTCATGAACCTCGGGTAGGAGTCCTGCCAGAGACAGCATCCTGGGCTGAGCTGGAGCTCAGGGGACAGCACTTGCCTAGCACGTATGAGGCACTGGGTCCAACCCAGCATTGCTGGGATCTTGTCCTGCCTACACAGAGGCCCTGACAGGAAAAGGGCTGGCAGCAGCCACCCTGACTTGCCCAGATCAAGGTGGACAGACCTGAGGAGACCTGGCTCCCATCTAGTGGGACCACAGTACAACAAAAGATAGCCAGGAGCTACAGTGCCCACACATATGGAGAGGTAAACCAGGCCAGCCTCAGCATCTCGGCTGGGCCCTGTCTCAAAATAAAAATGGCACCCCAGTGCCACCCAAACCAAAACAACTTCCAAGCCTCACTGACCACCCTTGGCCAATACTGGGGCCCAACTTGTTATTTTTTTTTTAAAGTGATAACTAAGGAAGGGTCAAGCATGACTCTGCTGTGGGGTCTGCACACTGGAGAACCACAGCATAGAGTTGTGACATGGAAGCACCAGCCACAGAGGAGGGGGAGGGGACTGGGGGCACACAGGGTAGAAATCCGCACACACAGTAGAGGGCTGCCCTTGCTCCTGACAAGAGGAGTGGGGGAAACACGCTGGCACTAGAGATAATACTTGGGACAAAATCCAAACAGGCAGCGTAACAAAAGCAACCAACACTGTGATGGGCCCCATGAGATTGGGTGGGGACATGAGCCCAGATGGGGCCCACCTTCTTCATGAGCATGTAGATGTGCAGTTGTGCATCGTCCAGGACGTAGCGATGGGGCTGATGCAGCCCCTCCAGTGTTCGCTCCATCGTCCTGCTGTCGATGTTGACCCAGTGGGCAGCGCCTGGGGCCAGGAACTGCCTGGGATGGAGATGGCATCTGGGGGTCCAGGCTGGACATGCCCACACACTGGCCAGCCAGTACCATTCCACCACACTCACTGGTACACAGTGTCCACCAGAGTGGGGATCTGGGCCTGCCCTCCAAAGCGCAGCTCCTCACATGCCTCCCAGAAGCTGAGGTTTTCCGCTATGGGCCAGGAGAGCCAAGTCAGAGATCCTACCCAGGGGTAGCCAAGATGGGGATCCAAGGCCTCTTGGGACAGGAGGATCCCAAGCTGGCCGGCAGCCTGGGAGGAAGGGCCAGCCAGCAGCCTCACTCAAGCAGCCTGCCATGAGCAGGGAGTATGGGGCTTCTCACCACTGAACTCCTTCTGTAGAAAGTCCATGAAGTGGGCCCGCCCCATGGGGTCATCCAGGAGCTCCCGGAAGCTAAAGCCCCACCGCTCCACACGGAGCTTTGTGGGCACAGCTACCCTGGGAGGAGAGGGGTAGGGCTGTGGGGAAGTGGGAGACTGACTGCTACCAGCCCCCCAAGCTGGAGGCACACCCATGGTCCCACGGCCCTGTGCTCACATGGGTGCATTCATGGCCCAGTAGGCATCGTCATCTGTGACCCAGGGGTTGCTGGGCAGACATCCTGCCAGGATAGGGTCATGTGGGCCTCGCTGGTGGCTGAATGTCAGGAACCTGGAAGAAGTCCAGGCAGTGCAGAGGGGCCTCAGGGGCAAGCAAGTCCAGAAAGGGGCTGGGCTGGGGGTTTCCTGCCCGCCTGGACTCACGCCTCAAGGCAGATGGAGGACTTCACCCGGGTCCGGCCCAGCGCTTTCCTCGACCACTCTATCTAGGGTGCCAGAACTCTTGAGTCAGGATCAGGGCTGGAGCACAGACCGCCCAAACCCCCCTCCCCCAGAACCTACCTCTCGCTTGTAGAAATCCAAGCTCTGTGACTGGAAGGAACAGGTGGCTGCATGACCAGCAGGTCTCCCCTCGGAACTGGACACCCACCTGCCCAACGCCCCTAGAGCAGAGCTCCTGCCTCACAAGATGTGGCAGAGGAAGGTTCATCACCGCATCCCTGACTCTTTCAGAGAAAAGCCCCTTCTCCTATCCCTAAACCTGGAAGACCTCTGAGAGCCTTTAGTCTGGAGATTTCTAGAATGTTCCATAGAACCTTCAGGTGTTCCGAGTGGCCTTGATGTCCCCAGTTATGTTTAACTTGTCATATTTTCAGAGGTATTTAAAGTATTCTTTTAAACAACACATACATACGTGAGAAGTCCTTGTACTGACATCACATTGGGGAACTCAGCTCTATCTCAGAAACCTGCGGCCTCACACCACCCCAGGTCCAGCAGGATGGCTGACCCAGGCTCCCTATGCTCCACAACCAGCACAAGGTATGGCGCTGGAGATGTATTCTTCAGACTCTAGCTTTCCCCAGCTCTTTGCCTTTACTCGGGAAGAGTTAGGGTCCTGAGATAAGCAGTTTCCATCAGGAAGAGGACACAAATCTTTCTGGACTCTGGTTTTGGTAAGAGTAGTTGCCTGTCCAGGGCCTGATTTCTGTAGTTTGCAGGTCACAGAGGCCCCGAAGGGAAGTGGAATGGTCCAGGTGCCGGCCATAGCCCTGCTTGCCACCCTCCCACTTCCCTGGCACAGTCCTGGTCTGGGGGAGAGCCCTCCCCTCCCCTCCCCCAGGGCCACTTCACTTACTTGCACCCAGGCAGCAGGTGGGAGGAGAGAGCACAAGAGTTAGGAGGGGGCTTATACCAGGAGTAGAGTAGGGCCCTTGGAGTGGCACATCAGGGGAATTTGGGTGAACTAAAGGACAGAAGGGGGATGGGAGGATGGAGCACAGCCCAAGCTGTCCCATGGTGGGTGGTGGGATGAGCCATGGGCAGGTAGGCCTGGGCAGGTGTGTGTGCCAGGGCAGGTGTATGTGCAGACGCTTACCATCTGCACCTGATTGGCATTGTTGGAGCCCCTCTCTGGGCCCTGCTCCAGCACATTGGGGACCCCAGGCTGCAAGAAGGAAGGTAAAATCAAAGTGTGGAATATGATATGTCAAGAAATTTGTAATGTTTTGAACAACCCACAATAAAAAATTAAAAATAAAAAAATAAAAATAAAAAAAAGAAGGAAGGTAAGCTGGGGTGTTAGGTCTCTACCCCTAGGGACCCCAATTCTGAAGCTCTTCATCATTTAATGTGGAAACTAATGAGCAAGCAACCAAGCCTGGCCTGATCCTGAGCTCCATCCTCTTTACTCACTCCCACCCCTAAGAATGGTTCCCCAGATAGAGTGGGCCTTGAATCACCTGCTGGACCTGAGTCTGGGGAAGGCTGGATCCCAGGTAGCACCCCAAAGCTCAGTTCTGTTGTAGCTCCTCCTGGCCCCCACAAAGGCCTCAGTCCCCCAAGGCTCCCCTATAGCCCTCCCTTAGACCAGGAGAGGATCTGACTGGTCCTGTGGTCTGGGGGTGCATGCAGCCACAGTCTTGAGTGTGTCACCTCTGGGTTCTCAATCACAGAATGACAGCTTCCTGTCACCCACCAGAACCAGGAAGGGCATGTCATTCCTACAGGCTCAAGTCAGAGTTTCAGGAAAGGTTCCAAGGATGCAGGTAGACCCCATGTCTGCCCAACAAACCCACCCCCTCATGTCACAGGGACTCACCGGGGGTCTGTTCACCAGCCAGTATGTCTGCTCCTGGCATGCAATGACCAGCCTGTCCCCTTTCCTGCGCTGCTTAGCAGCCCTGGAGGAAGGGGGAGGTTAAGCAGAGTCCCCCCATTCCCACTCTGCTCAGGACCTGGAGCCTGGGATGTTTTCTGGTTCTAGGACTGCCAGGCTTGGTGTCACTGGGTGTGGGCATAGACAGGGACAGGGCTCACCGTAGCTGTTCCCGAGCCTGCATCACTACCAGGTCCCAGGTGTGGTTGATCTTCTTATGCAACTGGTCATAGTGCTCCTGGGGACATGAGGTCTCCAGTGGGTGACCCCTTGCATACCCAGTTCTGGGACATGGACTCCACCTCTTCAGTGAGAGCGAGGGAGCAAGTGATGCGTGCGTGTGTGTGTGTGTGTGTGTGTGTGTGTGTGAGATCTTTCCACCTGGAATGGAGGCCAGCCCACCCCTGAGGCCCTGTGCAGGGGCTGTCTCTCTGGCTCTGGGAGCATTTAGCTGCCCCTTCAGGGTAGGTGGGGTGGGGGCCTGCCCAGCAAGAGCAAAGTGGGTATGGACTGTCTCAAAGACTGAGCTGCACACTCTGGGGCAGACTGTGAGGCTTGGGTTCTTCCTGCTAGACTCAGCCTGCTGGGCCTCACCTTCTCATGGGTGACCAGGGCTCCCTGCCTTTGTATGTTCTTCTTGGTCAAGTAGATGGCTGGAAAGACAGGGAACAGGCTGCAGAGGGACAAGCTCTGCCCAATCCTGGGAGCTGGCCCGGTGCTAGCCCCAGGTCCTCCACACTCACCATAGTCCAACTCGGCAGCTGGCCACAGAGTGCTGGTCCAGAAGTAGGGTGTCTAGCCATGTTGTGGGGTAAGGATGTAAGGCACCTCCTGAGCCCTTCCACCCATATACTGCTCACCCTCACAGCTCCCATCCGCTGGCCATCTGCCCACCTCCAAGAGCTTAGTGGACCACTCTCCATTCTTACCACTTGGACTGAGTCCGACTCAAGCTTTAGGGTTTTGCACACAGATTGCTCTCCCCTAGGATAGGGTAGGGGTGGGGGCCTGCCCAAGCCCTGGATGTGGTCACATCAGAGCTTAGGGTTGCCTGGTTCTTGGATGTGATTGGGAAGGGCAGGAAGGGGGGCTCCATCATGTTTGAATAACACGTTGAGGTGCAGGTATCCTGTCCTCACCCCAATACAGCCTCCTTCTTCAGGGGTGGAGGCTTAAGGACATCCCCTGCAGGCAGCTGGCAGAGTTCTCCGCAGGTAATGCCTTTTAATGGGGGTCCTGGAGTGGCCCCAGGAAACTGAAACCCCACCCTTAACTTGGTTCTTATCACAGGGACACTTCCAATCCTAGCCTCCTGGGGAGGGGGCGGTGAATCGCCAGCGGTGACTTCACCACACCCCCCACCAGCGCTAGCAGGCCCGCCCTCCCAAGTCCCCTCCGGAGTCCCCTTTGACAGGCGGCGGGGCAGGCGGGGTCGCTCGGGCGCAAGGCCTGACCTGGAACCTGTAGGGCGTCTCGTCCGGCCGGAGCGCCAGGCTGCGGGGCTCGCGCAGCGGGTATATGTAGCCGTGCTGCGCCAGCAGGCTGCCCAGGTGTAGCGCCTCTGCGGGGGCGTGAGTGAGTGCTCCTCCTGGCCCGCCCTCCCCAGCCCCTGGGCTGGCCGACTCTCACCCTCCTCCGAGATGCACAACTTCCGGACCAGCCACTCCACGATGTCGCCGCCTGTAGGGGAGAGGCTGGGTGGGCGCAGGCCTGGCTCCCTGCTCCCCCCCGCCAAGGGCCCTCACCGCGCCTCACCCGTCACCGCGTGCGGGATGACAGTGATGAGCAGACGCTGGCTCCGCGTCCGCACTCCCTGGTCAGGGTCCTGCATCCTCACGACCATCCGCTCCATCTGGGCGAGGGGACCGTGAGGGGAGTCTCGGCGGCGCCCCCGGACCGGGCTCCTGGGGCGGGCTGGGCCGGCCCCGGCCCGCCCCCCCCCCCCCCGGGACCCTAGGGGCTGGAAGGCCCACCTTGCGGAGGTGCGGCCTCTGCGCGCGGGGGCGCCAGCCACGGGGCGCTGGGCTAGCGGCCATGCCTAAGCGGTGGACGTCCGAGCGGCCCCGCCCCTCCCGCCTGGGTTAACCCTTGGGGCCTCGGGCAGAGGCTGGCCACCCAGCCTGTGTCGGAGAGCCTGCAGCGCAGGGCGGTGACAGGGGCGACTGGGACCCAGGGATGCCCTCCCAGGTCTGGCCTGGCCTGAGCCTGGGGAGGTGGGGCGAGGCGCACCTTCGACAGGACAAGGGGGCCCTGAGGGGGTGGACTCGGACCTGGAGCGGAACCAGCAAATAGAGGCTCACCAGGGGAGGGGCCTGAGGGGAACAAGGGTTCTGGGCCTGCCATAGTCTCAGGCTGCCAGTGTGTGTCCCCTAGGGCGGACGGGACCGGCAGCAGTCACTGATGTGGGGTCAGAAGGGTCTCTGACAGCCTGAGGAGTGTTTCCCTGCAAACCATGGCACCCACCGCACATGCCCTGTGTGGGTACCACAGGTTGGTGTGACCCTGATCATGATCATGAGCTGGTCCGCGTGGTTCCCAGCACTATGGGAGCTGTGTTGGCTTTTCCCTGTGTCAGAGTTGTCCTGTGGTTAAGGTTGCTGGGAGTGTGTGACACCGTGGGTTCCTGAACAGGGGTCCTCAGAGACTGGGGAGAAGAGTGGGGAATGGCCACATCCCCTTAACTACACAGGGGATTGGGTGGGACAGCAGGTGAACAGGCAGAGATCCTAGCCAGGGTGCCCTGGAACTATAGAAAGGGGTTTACTGGAGAAGGGAGGTCTCAACACCCCCTACCCATATTCACCCAGATTCCCAGGATCCAGGCACTTTCTGTCTCTTCTCCAGCAGCTTGGCCATCCCCTCCTGAGATATGCCCAGGCCCTCCAGGCCCCATTAGGAAGCCCTTTATAAGAAGTAGAAATGCTATATGTTATATTTATCCTCCCTGTGCCAGAGGTCAGATGGAGGGAGGTGGGTAGGGTGGCCTTGGGCCAGGAGCATCCAAACATGGCCACCTGAATCCATTACCAGTGCTGGCAGTGCAGGTCCAGAATGACATGGGGCAGTGGAGCTGGGGGCTGGAGGGGGCACCTGTCATAGGCAGGAACTCTTCCTCTTAGATCCCAGGTCACCCATTCCCCACTCCCATACACACTGTATGTGGGCGGGGAAGGGTGGGGTGTGTGTCAGGCTGGCTTTGAGACTGAGTGAACATCTGGATGCTATAGGCCATCAGCAGCTGGAGCTGCCCCCTGGAGACAAGTGACCTAATACTTCCAGTCCTGCAGAAAAGGGTAGCAGGGGGTGGGTCTCCAGTGCGCCCAGGGCCCCTTTGCAGGATTCTGTTTTGGAAAGACTGGCCAGGTGAAGACCCAGCCAGAGTGCACAGAGGGCTGGCCTCTTGCTCAGACAGTGGGGCTCTGGTCTGATTCCTGGGTGTCCCCAGAAATGGGGATGGGGTAGAGGTGTCTAAGAAAGGGGACTCAATCTGGTGTTGGGCAACCCCCTTTATTCAGACCCAGCCTTTGGTCTGTCTCCTGCTGAGGGTCTGCTCACCCCTCACCTGCCCTGGCTGACCCCCAACACCCATCCCCAGCTCTCAGGTGTCAAGAAACCCTGGCTTCCCCCTCATCTCGCCTGCCTTCTATTTTCTTCATGGTTCTTTCCCAGAGGGCAGTACCTCCCGAATTATCTGGGTCCCCAGGCCCCTACAGATAAAAACCAGCCCTGCGGGCACATCCTTTAGTGTCTTTGGCCTAGACTGAGCTTCAGGGTGCTCAGACCAGCCTGCCAGCCTGCCGAGGTCCCCTTAGGCTGCGTGCCAGCCCCCGCCCCAAGTTAGGTGGCCCCGGGAGTCCCCGCTGCCCAGACGGTGCGCGGGGGCGGAGGGGAGGGGCGGCGGAGGGCTGCTGGGCCCAGGTGTGGCCTGGCCGCCTGCAGCTAATGAGAGTCGGGGGACGGGCGGGGGGGAGGGGGAACGCACCTGCTGCACTTCTCCAGCCCCGCCCGAGGGCTCGGGGGAGACCCCGGCTCCTGCGGGCGCCGCGGGGCGGGGCGGGCCGCGGCGGCGGCGGCGGGGACGGCCGGGT